GCAGTTTACATTCCAGAATAGTACTGGTATATGTCTCCTCCTGATACATTTGCCTAGTATCCATAAATATCAGCTCACATCTAAATCATTGGATCTTTATGAAAGGTGATGTGAACGTTGATTAGGATTAATAATATCCTTATACTCTCATCTGCAAAAGTTGGGTAAGAGTAAAACTGCTGTACGCTGTCTGTTTTACCTAATCACACACTTTTGCATACAAATGAGCACCTGTTTTATGTCCAAAAGAGGAGCAGCAATCTATCTTCAGATCATAAAACTTGCAATAAATGCAGAATTGCTGTACAGAAAAAGATATTGATTTGAAAAACCTTACAAAACATCACAAAGGAAATTGTGTTCATTATGTTTGCTTACCCACCAATTTATGCAGAATTTTACATTTGAAACTACACTAGTAGTTATAGCAGTTTTGAAAGATCCATTAGAAAGTAAATTTTAGTATGTAAAGCCACATTCTAGTCAAGGGGATTTTTGTCTGTTTTGTACATTACCTCTGGAATTCATTGGAACCTCATGCCCAATAGCTGAGCAAGTGAGCAAATACCGAGGAAGGAGCAAAAAATGTTCCCATCCCTTGCACCACCTATGCAATGGCCAGGCACGGTCACAGTCCCACCCAGCAACCATTGGGTCACAAGCCACCCCAAAGATGGTGGGAAGGAGGTGAGCCCTTGACTGCCTCCTCCAGCAGATTTAGCTGGGTGCAATGAGAAGAGTACAGTGCTCTTCTAAAGGATGATGTAGTGGGTGTGTTCCCCGTGTATATCTGGGACCTTCTGAAGGAAGTGTACCTCCTTGAAACACAATCCTGCCCAGAGAAACTGCTGTATATCACTCCTAATGCAAAACTATGTCTCTCAGACATTCTGCAACACATTATATTAAACATTTTGACTTTTTTGTATAGTATATAATGTTATAACAAAAATCTGTACACATGAAAAGCAAAGGAATGTACATTTCAAAGTATGGCATTTGATGTAAGGAAAGTATTGATATAAAATTAGTTGCACTGTGGTTAACTGGTCTAAAACTGTTCAACAGGCGAGTCTTCTATCAATCCTTAGATATGGAGGTTTCAGTTTTTACTTCCATCTGGTTCTGAGGCCTTATACATAAAATTGATGAGAGTCATTTTCACAGACTTTGGACGGACTACAGAAGAATCAGGCTTGATGCTTTTCAGAAGATGGCCCTGATATGAATTTTATTGTTCAGTAGTAATAAACAATATTCAAAGCTACCTTTGTAAATTTAAAATACCATTACTGATAATATTTATATCAGATTGTTCATTGATTTCTTCTTATAAGTTTCTATAGGGAACTTTTCCTTGACCTTTCAGGATTATGGTCTTACTCCCAAATACGTAATTAAGCGAAATGAGGAAGTAAAGAGAGCCCAAGAAGAGTATGATGCCTATGTCAAGGAGACTCTGAGGCAAAAAGCCATGAAACGGCTCTCTGATGAAGAAAGGGAAAGTCTCCTACAGGTATGCATTTTGATTTAAGTTTCATAGTGGTAAGTACAAAAGACGAATTAGATTTGTATTTCCATATAAGTAACAGGAAACTATACAATGTATCAAAGTACTATAGTGTACAAGAAACAATGCGTTTGGGTTGGCTAGCTTTTCACTAGATGGAGCTCTAGAATAATTATAGGTAGGGCTGGGCAAACAATCTGATCTGACTCTAATTTCACAGGTTTAGGATGCTCTAAAGTTCAATTTTACAGGTATCTCCCATCTCGGGCTTCAGTTCTGGATCCCTTCCCCCATAGCTTCAGTGAAGTCAGTGAAGCTCCAGGCAGCTACAGGGTTCTAGCTGCAGGATTAGGGCTTTTTGAGTCTTAGATAAATACAACTTCCTCTTTTTTTCCAAATTCATGACACCCCATGTTTAATGTATAGTGTATTTCATACAACATGTATTCCAAAATGTTTTCCAGCGTTAGCTAATACAGTGAAAAGGATTAGATAACAAATAATATCAGAGGGAGAGAGAAATAAAGAGGTATAGGCAAGGGGAAAAAGAGACGTTTTCAGCTGAGACTTGAAAAAAGGTATGAGGTGGAGAGATACAGACAGGAAGACTGTCAGAGATGTCAGGAGCTGTCAACAAGAAGGCTCTCGCACCAATAATGGCAAAATTGTGTAAAGCAAAAGAGAGAAGGCCACTACTATTTCTCAGTTTGCACCATGGATTGTGAAAGTGGTGAGTCTTTTATTTATAACCTCACAATAATAGTTATTATAGAGGAAGCATGTTCATTGTAACTGCCTATTTATTGGCCCTTTGTAACATTTATTTGGGGGGGGGGACCCTACCATCTGGGCTGGAATTTCTCGTGCTTATTCTTTTTGTTTGATAACATTCTGTTCTGACATTTTTCAGATATCAGAGTGTGATGAAAGAAGTACTTTTTGCTAGTTAAGAAATTTTCAGATACTTACTTTATTTGGATAACCCAAAATCTTCTTTTAAATTCTTTATGATGTCACAATAAATAAATGGAAACAATTAGAGACAAAAATCTGAAATTTCTCTCAATTTCACTTTCTTTGGGTATACTTTTTATGAGAAAAAAGAGCTTTGAGAATAGATTCAGTATATATTTCTCACAGATTCAGAATTCATAATTTTTTATATAGGGCTAGATTGTCAATTTACAATCTAGCCTATAAGAAGGATCAACAGCCCCTGGAGCAGCCGTGGAGGGAAATTTTGACTTTTATGTTTTGGACTCTCCACTTCTCCCGGGAGGAAGTAAACTCCGATAGGTCTATACACTGGAGTCCGTGTGAAAACTCCCATTGTCTTCAGTGGTGCAGGATCAAATCTGAATTGCACACATTAAAAGGTACCGCTAAATGACAAAAAGTAATGACTCTTCTAGGAAGGTTTCAGAAATCCTATATTAATTTTCATGATTAAATACAAAACAGTAAAGAATGCCTCATGTCTGCTGAATTGCCACTAGCTTCATACATATATTTTACTGCCTTTGATTGTAAAGAAAAATAACATTATAAACCAGCAAGTAAACAGGCCCAAATTCTGCCTTTAGATGCACATGCTGCCATAGTCTTTAAAAAAAAAAATCATTTACAGATTACATTACCATATTATCATTAAAGATTTCGAAAATAGCCATTACAAATAAAACATAACCATGCACAGATACATGCTACAAGTACACAGATAAAGCAAGTCTTGTAATGCCAAATGTAGTCACTTTAGAATGCCATTTTAAATCTGTAATATATTAACTTTCCATTAAAATGTAAGCATTGCTTAGATCACCCTACCTATTTTAGGACACCAGGCCAAATTCATCCTTGCTATTACTACATTGACTTTTAAGAGATTAATGAATTGTGCCCACTTATTTGGCTCCATTAAATGTTATCCAGATGTTAATCAATTATTTTAACATCTGTTCATTGTTAAGGGAGGTGAGCACATATCACAGGGCAAAATGTTTGTTAATATTGCTAAATACATACTTTGTATAAATATAGCATTTAAACAAAATTAATTATTCTCATAAGTTTTCTTTTCATATAATGGATTTAGGGTCTGAAAAAGAATTGGGAAGAGGTACATCATGAGTTCCAGGGCCTTTCTGTAGAAATAGACACCTTACCAAAGAAGATCCATAAAGAAAGGCTGGAAGCACAGATGAAACAACTGGAACATGACATTAATATAATTGAGAAGCACAAAATTATCTATATTGCAAATAAGTAAGAACTGCCTTGCAAAGAATTTTTTTTACCCTGAGAAGAAAATGTAGATGCCTAGAAGAAGGAAATGAAACAAGTCCACCTTATTCAGAGAAAGAGAAATAGCTATTTTATACAAATATAATAGAATTTTAGCAAGTTGTTACATTTAAGGAATTTTTCAACTGTATAATTCACATATTTTTTCAAATAAAATTCTATATTATTTTCATTTTCAATAAAGAAGTACACGTTTTATTTGTTATTAAAGTAAATCTCCTTTATCTAGTTTTCCTAGGAATGTTATATAAAAGACTGATAAAAGACAGTTTTGATATGTTCAAAGCACTTATTTTTTGGCATGGAAATGCCAAGTAATTGAACTAATTCATCTTAGAAGTGAACTTGGTAAACACACTGAGGGTAGAAATGACTTGCATACTAGTTATTAAAGAACTGCTAATAATGGAAAGCTTTGGATCATTCTGTTTATAAACAATTTGGTTACTATATCATACTTTGCTTTATTTCTTCATTTTTATTACTAAGAACAATTTTCAGTATATTTACAGTGGAGGCCACTGAAAAGTGTAACCTTCCAATAGTAGTGTTACCATGGACAGCAGAGTACACTGTGTTGGGGAATGAATGATTTCATAATCCTGTGATAAATGTATAGCAGGAGGAGTACTTTTTGGTTCCTTCCATTATACATATAATGTTAAATTGAAAGTGATGTTACAACACATGGGCATGACTTGGGCATAATGCAGTGTTGGCATATTATAAACTACAATTGCATTTTGCATGAAAACTAAAACTTTTGCTTCTCCTTCCTGCTGCTTGTTTCCCACTTTAAAACATAATGCTTTGTTTGTGACATCTCAGTCATTTCCATAGTAGCTAGCAATTATGCTTTCAGAGATAAAAACTGACTTCAGGTAGCATCAGGAACCAGAGGTCTTGAACCCTGGTCTACAGGACTTTTAGAATATGTCTATACAGCAAAGAAAAACCTGTGACTGATCTGTGCCAGCCAACTTGGGCTTGTGGGCTGTTTCATTCATTTCAACCATGGGTTTTTCGTTGCTGTGTAGAAATACTAGGCAGCCCTATCTTGCCACCCAGTGACCTGCTAACAACTGCCAGAATAGCAGCTGAACTCAGACAGAGGACTCCTGTCCTGAAATCTGATTGGTGGAACACTAGGGGTCCTGACTGGTCCCCAGTTTATATTTTAACCCAAACACAGGAAGTTGTCCATGCAACTGAGTTCTCCCTGCCTATGACTGCTTTCCCTGCAATACCTGCTCCTGATCTCCTGGTAACTTGACCCTGCCTGACACATGAGTCTCGGTTTTACCCTCTGGCTTGCTTTGAAGTCTGACCTCCTGGTATCTGACACACACTGACTCTTGCTCCAATCACTAGCTCAGATTTCTCAAGCCCCGGTAATAACAGTTTGTAAGGACCACTTAGGCCACAGGCATGGACCTGATGCCAATAGAATGGACCTGGCTAAACCTTTGGGAGCACTGGACTTGCCTGAGGGGGCTTCCTGCATTCAGGTGGACTGCCAAGTACTGCAGGCCCAAGTTGTCCAGCTGACCTCGGCGAATGAGCTCTCTTGCCAGAGTAAGTCACACAGTTGTGTGCAGAAAATGCCGCACTCCAGACAGACTCATGCAGCCCTGTTCCCTGATACAGTGGTCAGAATGGTGTGATGGTAATCTCCAGCAATTCCAGGTTTTATAAACCAGTGCCACTTTCTGTTTATGATGCATCCTCAGTGCTATAATACTGATCGTGCAAAGGTGAGCCTGGTCATCAGCCTGCTGTCGGTGGAAGCATCAGACTGGGCCTCCCCTTTCTTGGAGTATGACAGCCCAGTATTGTTGAATTGGGAGGTCTTCCCCCAAGCCATGTCAGTATTATTTGGTGATCCACAGCAAATGCAAATAGTGGAGGCTGCCCTAAGGAAGCTCTGACAGGGGCAGGGCACCATTGCCTCCTATGCCGCGCTGTTCCAGCAGTTCACAGCCGATACAGACTGGAATGCGGCGGCACAGGCATACTAGTTCTGATTGGGGCTGCAAGAAGAAATTAAAGATGGATTAGCCTGGGTACAGATGCCCACAAATCTGGATGCCCTTGTGAATATCACCATCCATATAGACAATTGGTTATGGGGACAAAGGGAGGCAAAAAATGGGGGTCTTGAAACCCTCCAGTCTAGGTTCTGGCCTCTTCACCACTGCTGTCTGCTGAGCCAGTGTAGGTGGATGTGGGCTGTCGATAGCTCACCCCCATAGAAAAGGAATGACAACACCAGCATCACCTCCTCTTCTACTGTGGTGAGTCAGATCACTCGATCTCTGGCTACCCCATATGAACTCCAAAGAATCAGGGAAAAAGCTCCACCACACTTCAGTCTGACTGGAACACATCCAGTGTCCTGCCCGATGGCTCCCCACTTGCAGGTGCCAGTCCATTTGTACATAGCTGGGGTGTCCCTGCAAAATCCCATCCTACCAGTCCTCATTGACTCAGGTACAGCTGACTGCTTCATAGATGCAGTGGCAGCCCAGATCCTGCAGATTCCCCTGTAATGCAAGGCCACTCCTGACCTTATAGAGACTATTGACAGTTCCCCTTTGTCTTCTGGCCCAGTAATAGAGGAAACAGTTCCCTTGGCGCCTGTGATTCAGGGACACTGAGAAATGTTACAATTTGGTGTGATCCATTCTCTATACTTTCCCCTGATCCTCAGTATTTCCTGGCTGGCCCTCCACAACCCGTTCATTTGGTGGCAGGCACAGGAAGTTTGTTTCCCATCAGAGTTTTGTCAGCAGCACTGTTGGGGAACAGTAGCTCATCCAAACCTCGAGACCCAGATGGGAGTGGCTATCCAGACAGAACCTTGCATTGAAGCCACATCTGAACTCCCCTCAAGATACCAGGTCTATGCCAATGTTTTTGAAAAGAAGAATGTGGAAACCCTATCTCCATGCTGGGACTTTCCCTGCCTAATAGAGCAGCATCCAGGTGCAAAAATACCATTTGGACAAATGTATCCCATGTCAGAAACGAAGCTGACCATGCTCTGAGAATATCTCCAAGAGAACCTGGCCCAGAGGTTCATCCGCAAGTCGACCTTGGAGGCTGGTGCACAAGTCCTCTTTATCAAAAAGAATGATGGCAGTCTCTGACTCTGTTGATTACCATGCATTGAATCAGATAACTATCAGGAATCATTACCCACTCCTGATTCCTGAGTTGCTGGATTGCATGGGAGTTGCCCATATTCACGACGTTGGACTTCCGGGGAGCAAACAACCTCATGCAAATCAGGGAAAGGGACAAGCGGAAGACTGCCTTCCGAACCTGGTATGGCAACTACAGATATCTCATAATGCCCTTCGGGTTGACCAACTCCCCGGCCACCTTCCAACATTTTATAAATGATGTGTTCTGAGACATCTTGGCCCAATAGGTAGTAGTCTACCTAGACAACATGTTGATCTTCTTGTAGCTCAGTGGACTAGTTTGCCGTTCACTGCTACTGTAGCCCAGTGGGCTAGCTTGCCTTTATTATATTTACTGCTTTGCATTATATTCTGCTTTGCATTATATTCAGCAGTAATGCAAGAAACCTACAGGCCTATATCCTGTAAGACATGAGCTTCAGCAAGTTAGCATAAGGCTTGAGGCCTATGAACTTTGAACAGATAAACTTTGCACAGATAAACGGCCCAGTGGAAAACCCCAAGTATTTGGGGAGCTGAAGATAGAGTTTAAGGGTTGTTTTACAGGAGATGGTGTGAGTATATGGATGTGCAGATGTACATTCTGTCGTATCTCTATCTGTCTTACAAAGTTGGGGTGTTTGTGACCGTGCTAAATAACTATATTTGTAAATATAAAAGAGTTCCTATAATGTGAGTGTTGCAACTGTGAACATCAGGGTTCCCAACTATATAATAATTTGAATAATACTGGGCCTGCTCTTGGGGCAAGAACCTGTCAACCCTCAAAATGATAACGGGATTCTTAAGTAATGTATATAATTAATACATAACCTAAAGATCGGGCAACATTCTCCAGCTACCCTAAACAGCATACCACTCATATCCAAACAGTCCTGGAATGCTTATTGCAGTGTGGCCTTTACACCAAGCTCGAGAAGTGTGCCTTTGATCAGGCCTCCATGGAGTTCTTGTGCTTTATCTTATCCCCAGAAGGGATCCAGATGGACTCAAGCAAGGTCAAAGCTGTCCAAGATTGGCCAGTTTCTCCACACAGTATGCAACATGCAATGCTTTCTGGGGTTCGTCAATTTTTATTGATGATTTATCCTGCATTTTTCAAAATAAATCGAGTCCCTCACCGCTCTCCTCCAGAAAAATACCCATTTCCATTGGTCTCCTGAGGCCCAGCATGCATTCAACCAATTGAAACTCATCTCTACTACAGCACCCATATTGGCTCATCCAGATGTCAGATAAGCCTTCATTGTATAAACTTACCCCTCTAGTATGGTGATTGGGGCTGTCATCTCCCAGCAACTTGGTCCTGAGCAAGTGTGACACTCGTGCACTTACTACTCAAGGAAGCTCACTCCCACAGAGCTAAACTCCGAAATACTTGATAAAGAACTCCTGATGATAAAAACCGCCTTTGCAGAAAGGTGGCACTACCTGGAGAGCTTGCCACCCACCCAAGATATTCACCGATCATAAAAATCTGGAGTATCTACAAAGGATGAAAGCCCTAAACCAACAGCAGCTTTGATAGGCCCTACGTTTCTCATGATTCAATTTCATTATCACATACCGCCCTGGATCCAAAAATGGCAAGGTTGATGGTCTGTCCCAAAGGTATGGTACCAACTTATGAGGTCCCAGCCAGGAACCACCCTCATTCTCAAACCCTATAACTTTCTCAGTGCAGCTTGTTGTGAGGATATACATAGATTGATATGCTAAGCCTCTGCCTCAGGAATTCCACCTGATAAACAAGCTATTATCCACAAGCAATCCATGATTCCCAGAAAGGGATCACATATGTGAGGGAACACGTCTATGTTCCCCCTGGCCCTGCAAGAGTTGCAGTACTGCAACTATGCCATGATTTCCCCCTTGCAGGACATTTCAACTGCTTCAAGACCCAAAGACTAATATCCTGCTCCCATTGGTGGCCCCAGATGCAACCAATGATACAGTCATTCATTGCCTCCTGCAA